TAAAAATTCCTCTATCTCCTCAGCGTCCTCACTCAACTAACAATAACCACCTCGGTTCTTGTGGTGGATTGCCGGGTGGGAGTAGGGGTGGCAATATCATCCGAACCCAATGAATAGCTTCCACCCAATCCAGATATATGGATGAAAACTAACTGTATACAGATTTAATTAAACAAATGATCAATGGATCTGAGAGATGGATCGGGTCAGATTTGGGTGGATATCCATCCAACCTATCACCCAACCCATCTACCCATCCGTTAAATATTTAAAAAAAATAAAATATAATAGTTACCCTCTCCGTTTCTTTTGTTGATTACGGTTTGACCATATTTCTCTCACAATAGGATTAGAGGGACTAATTTTTTTTATTATTTTTTTTAATAATTTAATGTCTTTTTGCAATGTTAGGGATTGAATTGTGTTTTATTTTCGTAGAAAGCATCAAAAATTAGAATGATGTATCAAATTTTTAATTTAATTACTCTCTCTGTCCCAAAATATTTGACACAGTCAACTTTGCACACATGCTAATACACTAGTTTGACTTTATTTTTATATAATTAAATATTAATGAAATTTTTTTAAAAAATTATATTATAAAACTTATATTAATATCTATCTAACAATATATTTTATGATAAAATATGTTTTTATTATGTTAGTAAAAAATTATGGTCAAAGCTAATATATAAATAATGAAAAAAGTCCAATGTCCCAGATATTTTAGGACGGAGGGAGTATTACTTTATTCTCAAAGCTTGATTTTTATGTTTTACAAGTGTATAAATACATTTATATACTTTTATTCACCCGATCCATACATAGATGACGAGTGAATCAAATATAAATAAATTGATGACAAGTAAATTTAATGATGGATGCATGGATCGGGTGCGGATAAATCGTTGATGGCTGAAGTCCTAAAGCCGACTCGCTTTTGATCCATTGTCACCCGGGAGCTGATACACATAGGCTTAGTCAATGTGTAGCCCCACATAGACAACCAATAATATTGTGACACATCAGCATTGTAAAAAATGGATAGAAAGAGACTTGAGCGGGAGAATTAAACGGTAAAAAGCGTGTGAGAGTCCCGCCTAAGGAGAGAGGAGCGGTAAGCACATTGTTGAAATTATAGCGCCATTTTCATTAAAAAAAAAAAGTACTTCTTCAAGCAAGGTAGTTAAGTAGTTTTAGAAACCATTTGTATGCCAATGGCAAACAACGGTGTAGAAATTCATTGATTTGAAGTTGAAGATTTTAATTTGATAGCTGACATTGTTGTTCGAAACCTTTGGCGACATTATCGAAAGTAAGATTTAACAGTAATTGATCAAATCGAAATTTTATAAACGAACTAAATTTGTTCTTTATTTACATAGCTTACTGAGTAAATTAAGGAATATGTTGTATAACTTGTATTTGATGAATTAGATATCTACAAAGAAATATAATTGGTTTGAAGTTATAAGGGTTGAAGAAGATATGTTTTAAAAGTTTTGCAATGGATTTGTAATCCATGGTTTAATTTTTGATATAGTATGTTTTGTGTGGAAAGTTAATGGTTTGTAGTTAATAATGTATAATGTACCTTACTCATATGTTTTTAAAATTATATTTAAGCAATGTTAGTGAGATGAATTATTTTAGTATCATTATAATTAAAGTGGTAAATGCATTATTATATGTAGTTTTCAGAGTTCTTTGTCGGGAATGATTTATGAGTTAAATTTTGTTTATAAAACATTCATTTTTTATACTAAAATAATACAAATAATACTAAAACAATAATTTTTGATACTAACAAATTATGAATTACAAAATATTTTCAAAACAATTTCAATGCTACAATAATACACCTGGTCTCCGTCGTCTATTTCGCTCGCTCATCCTCCGTAGTTTGCCTCTGATTTCACCCTCCATTGTTTCCGACCATCGTATGGACCACATCACTCTTTGATTTCGCCAACCATCGTTTCATACTCTAAACCATATCACTCTCTAATTACGCCGACCATCGGTCCTTCCTTCCTTCTCAACCACCTTACTCACCTTAAGCCACCGTCGTCGCCCCTCCATGGTGTCTTCTCGCAAATCCTCCAACATCATTCGCCGCCATAAATACAATTAAATTCAAATTTAAAATTCAAAATTCAAATTTTTTCGTTGCAAAATTATCAAACAGAAATTTCTAAACTATATATTTATGTGAGATCAAGTGGACCAACTTCTCCCGACCAATAGAAAGCCTTGTTTATGTGAGGTACACATAGACGATCTATGTGTACCCTTTTCGTTGTCACCATCCTAGGCTGGAGCAAATCGAGCAATTATGATATGATGGACGCCTACCTGTAGTCCTGTACCATAGATTTTTTTTTTTTTTAAAAGAAGTCCTGTACCATAGTTTAAAGGAAGAGTCATAATGCCAAATGTAAACATACAGCAAGAATTTTGTAGTGAAAAGTAGACTTTTAGGCACCTTTTTAGAGTTTTTGCAACGATTGGGTCCTTTTAATTTTGACATTTTTGATTATGACATACCACGCACACATGCTCACATTGATGAATACGATTGATCTGATATGAGAAAATAAACTTTGTGATATAATATGATGTCATAGCTAGCTACTTGTTATAAACATAATCTGTCAGGATTTAACATAATCACTCGCTACAGGATATAACTATGTAACACCCTATTCATTTCAGTTTAGCAAAAATAATTTCAATTCACTAAAATTCAGTAACTTTAAAGAATAAATATAATAGAGAATCGGTAAAAATAATTTCAGTTCAATAAAAATAATTTCAGTTCAGCAAGTAAAATATGGTAACATATACCTCCGTATCATATTATTTGTGACATTTGTCGAAAATACTTATTTCATATTACATGCAACAAATATTTTATTTATGCATCTCTATTTTTCTCTCTTCATTTGATACTCACAAACAAATTTTACCTAGCAATCTATACAACTCTCGCTCTAAAGTTGCAAATAATACAAAACGGAGATAGTATATAATACTCCATATAATATTTGTAAAAATTAGTAAAATTTGACATTATGAAAGTTAAAATTAATGCCTATTTAAGTAATATTTTACCGGTTTAGGGAGTGATTGGACCGGTTTCTAGCTTCTCCATCTTGGTTGCATATTTATCCCGACGCTTATGCTGAACACTTGCTGAAATTTAGATCGGACCACACCCCCATTGTTGTCCGAACTCAAAAGGAGAAAAGCAAGAAAAAGCACAAGCAACGGAAAAGATTTAAATTCGAGACTGCTTGGCTTCTTGATGGTGCTTGTGAGGAAGTGGTGCGCAAATCGTGGAATGCTACTGCCACTTTTGACACCATTGGTAAATTGAGAGTGCTGGGGAAGGATTTAATGAAGTGGAGTAAAAGTACTTTTAATGACCTTGGCCAGAAAATAGAGAGTGCCGAGAGCAAACTCAAAGAGGTGCAGCAGCAGGGGGTGTCTCGCGACTCTTGTGAGAAGAGTCTTGAGTTGGAAAAACTTCTCGATGATCTTCATTCGAAGCATGAAACTTACTGGTTCTTGCGTTCGAGAGTGATTGAAGTTAGAGACGGAGACCGCAACACATCTTATTTTAACCACAAAGCCTCGCAGAGAAGGAAGAAAAATAGGGTTAAAGGCCTATTTGGTGCTGATGGAACTTGGCAGAATGATGAGCGCAAATTGGAGGAAATTGTGTGTAGCTATTACAAGAACCTGTTCACCTCGTCAGAGCCGAATGAGACAAGTATCTATGAGGTTTTACAGCATGTGAAGCCTGTTATTTCAGAAGATGACAATGCAGAGTTGCTCCGGCCATATTCGAAGGAAGAAATATTCTTGGCATTGCAGCAGATGCACCCTTGCAAGGCTCCAAGGCCGGATGGTATGCATGCGATCTTTTACTAGAAATTTTGGCATATTGTAGGTGATGATGTGACTAAATTTGTTAGTAGTATTTTACAGGGTTTAGCTCCCCCAAGCTCTGAAAATAATACTAATATTGCCTTGATTCCGAAAATCAACATACCTACTTTGATGTCTGAATTTAGACCCATAAGCCTCTGTAATGTATTATATAAATTGGTGTCAAAGGTTATTGTGCTTAGACTAAAAAGTATCCTCCCTTCTGTTGTGACTGAGAGCCAAAGTGCTTTTGTACCGGGCCGTTTGATTACTGATAATGCCCTTATTGCTCTTGAGTTGTTTCATACGATGAAAAAGAGAAATCGGGGTAGAAGAGGTACTATAGCATTGAACTTGGATATGAGCAAAGCCTATGATCGTGTTGAATGGGGCTTTCTCAAAAAACTCCTTCTCACTATGGGGTTTGATGGTAGATGGGTGAACTTGATTATAGACTGCGTGGTGTCTGTTTCGTACTCTTTTATTGTTAATGGAAGAGTATGTGGTGATGTGTCTCCCTCCCGGGGGCTTCGACAGGGGGATCCTTTATCCCCTTATCTGTTTATCCTAGTAGCAGATGTTTTTTCTCACATGTTACATAATAAAGTGCAGGGAAAAGAGCTTCACGGGGCAATAGCTAGTAGGAGTGGTCCTGTTATTTCACATCTTTTGTTTGCAAATGATAGTTTGTTGTTTACTAGAGCCAATCGACGAGAATGTGAAGTTATAGTTGATATACTCAACACTTATGAAGTAGCATCCGGGCAAAAAATTAATTATGAGAAATCGGAGGTGTCTTTTAGCAAAGGTGTAAGCATCGAGCAAAAAAGTGAATTAATGGGTGTTTTGAATATGAGACAAGTGGACAGACATGAGAAGTACTTAGGGATTCCAACAGTTGCCGGAAGATCTAAAAAAGCAATTTTTGAAGCTATAACTGATAGAATTTGGAAGAAATTGCAGGGTTGGAAAGAAGTGCTGCTGAAATCTGTAATTCAGGTGATTCTGACATACTTGATGGGTGTTTACAAATTCCCTATTTCTGTCATTCAGAGTATCGGTCAATGATGGCAAGATTTTTTTGGGGTCAAAAAAGTGCTCGCCGGAATATGCATTGGAAATCATGGGATGGTATGTGTGTACCGAAATGCTTCGGAGGAATGGGCTTTAAAGATCTTGAAATATTTAATGATGCATTACTCGGCAAGCAGGCATGGCGGCTTATTCACAAAGATGATTCGCTCTTGAGTCGAGTTCTGAAGGCGAAATACTACCCCAATTCCTCCTTCCTTGATTCTTATTTGGGAGTAGGTGGGAGCTACTCATGGAGGAGTGTATGGAGTAGTAAATCTCTTGTGAAAGAGGGAGTTATCTGGCGCATAGGGAATGGCTCGAATGTTAATGTTTGGAGCAACCCTTGGCTTGCTGACACGGAAGGGCGGTTTGTGACAAGCCCGGTTGTTGAAGGAATTACGAATGTGAGTGACTTGGTTGATTTAGAGAATATGGAATGGAATTATGAGGTCATTTCTACAGCCTTCAATGACTGAGACCAGAAGTGTATCCTGTCGATCCCATTGAGTTCAAGAGCACCTAAGGACATCATTACATGGGCAATGATGGCCTTTACTCTACTAAGACAGCGTACATGCTTGGGAAGGGGTGCAATCTTGATGAGTATCATCGAGTTTGGTTGACAATATGGGGGATGGAAGCTTCGCCCAAAGTTCGTCATTTCTTCTGGCGTTTTTGTTCGAATACATTGCCGACGAAAACTTTGTCGAAGCAAAGACACCTTTTGGAAGATGCCTCTTGTCCTTGGTGTGGGGGGGAAGATGAGAGCAGCAACCACGCTATTTTTTACTGCATTAGAGTACGAGATTTGTGGGAAGAGAGTGGTTGCTTGAGCCTTATCCAAGACAGAAGTGGCAGTGCCTGTGATATGATGGAAAGATTGTAACACCCCCAAATCTCCCTCTACGGAAATACCAGTATAATACGTATAATTATACCGTAGAGATAGATTTAGGCGTATTACCGTCGCATGATTACGCAAGGCTACCAAAACTACTAACCCAAACCAATACTTTGCAGCGGAAAGTCAAATTCTTTCTTTATTAGTAATAACTATAAATAGAAACCATCGTCATGAGTACTCATAATTAGATAAAGACCAACAATCCTAATTCTAAGTGAAGAACATTCCCGGGACTCCCATAAGCTCAATTCTTGACTCCACCTGAAATTAGTCAACACTGCTTACCATTACGGTAAACAGGGCGAACCAAAACAAATAAGAAATACATATTAGCAAAATATGCTAAGTACGATAAATGCAAGATAAGTAAATTCAATTTATTTGCAAACATGCTTTTAAAACCAATTCCAATAATTAATCCAATGAATTCCAAAGCTCATGATTCAAACCAATTCTCAATAATTCAATAGTTCGATGAAACGATTTATAAAACCAATTCCTCTTTTGAAAACCAATTCCTCTTTTGGAAACCAATTCTCAAATATTCTCAAAATAATTCCAATAACTTAATAATAATGATTAGTCAAATCAATTATTTTCGAAAACTCAACCTCCTCTCTAAGTGTGCACACCCCCCAAGCTAATCTCCTACTATTTCAAGGCTATTCTTGGAGAAAGACTAAGTCATACAAAGTCCATAGTTTTCAATGAATCCGCATAGTGGGATTAATATAATAATCATGCTTGTAAAGCTTTTATAAATAATTCAATAAATCCTCATAAAATTCCTCTTTGAATAAATCAACCTTTATAATAGGTTAACTCCAAATTCCTTTTTATTTAATTCAACATGCTTTCAAAATGAACCTTTTGAGAATTAAATCTCATATAAATAACTTTTCAAAATTAATAACTCTTCCTTTGAAAAACCTTTTTTAAAAACTCTTTAAAACAATCCAACATACTTTCACTACTACATTTTCGATCAAATACAACGCCAAAAAATGAGCTATTGCAACGCCCTATCCAAATGCCGTGGCAATAGATAGCCTATTACAACGGTATTTTTATTGCCGTTGCAATAGAGTAGGCTATTGCCACGGAGTTAAAACTAATGCTCTTAAAGGTAGAGTTATTGCCACGACTCTAAAGAACCGTTGCAATAGCCTAGATATTTTAACAAAAATGAAAGCTAATGCAACGGTAGTGTTGTATCATGAAAATTTTAGCTAGGTTGAAGCGCGCATTGTTCCCTCTAATTTTTTCACCAAAATTTTGAACAAACACGTGTTTACTTTTCTCACCCATTTTCTCCCCTCATTCTCACGGTACCCATTCTCATCCTATTTCTCCATTTCCTCAATTTCCCCCAATTCTCCATTTTCTCAATTTCCCCCAATTCTCTAGTTTCCCCATCATCATCTCACATAAATAAGCAAGGTAAACAAAAATTCTGAGGCCGATTTTGAGGTGAAAATCACGAAAAAAATCATTCAAAAATTCGAAGCAGAAGGCAACCATCGCCGCAGCCGGCAACCACATCCACAACCACCGTCGCTCACAAAATTAAATTCTCTCTTTCTTCTCCCTCCTCATTCAATGATGGTCACGGTGGTGATGGTGGTCGCGAGTGATAATGACGATGTGGTTCGATTTTTAGGGTTTTGATTGGTGTTCATGGTATGAGCTTCTTTAAACTTTCCTCTTTAAATTTCAAATTTAGGGTTCCTTTGCACAATTTATAGTTCAAATTTTTGATTTTTTTCGATTTCTAGGGTTTGGAATTGTAACTGTTGGCGGTGGTGGAGAGCAACGATGGTGAGTTTTGATTTGTAATTGATGGCGGTGGTGGAGAGTTGCTGAGCTAACGTCGCTCAAACTCCAGCTTCGTGCCCTGATCTTTGAGTAAGCCTTCTATCTTTATCTCTCTTTTTTCCTCTTTCTCGCTACTTTCTCTCCCCTTTCAATTATTGTTCCAATTTCGACAATTATACACTTAAGAAGTTTTAATCAATTGACAATTTAATGTTAATCAGGAACATCATCATCGTCCATGGTAGTTGGTGAGAGTGATTTGCTAATTGTTGGACCTGGTGTTCTTGGTCGCTTGGTAGCTCAACAATGGAGTCAGGTATAATCGTTATTTTTATTGTATTTCTACCTCTATTTCTTTCGTTTGTAAAACATTTAATTCCTCGAGAACTGTCAGGTTAATTTCTTTCGTTTGGGATTCTCGCCTTTATGTTCTTGCCAGGTTCCTTCTTTTATCTTTAATTTCTGATTTTTAGTAGATTTTGTTATAAATTTTTTATCATATTGTTAGTATTTTGTTTGATTATTGAAAAATTGGTAGATTTTTAACTTGCAAATAAGTGTTGTTTCGGATGAAAACAATCGAATCTCGGAAGATCCTTTTATCTTGAGGGAACTTGGTCTCGGTCCGAACGACGCAGGAGCCGAGGGTTTCCTGCACAACAAATACACGTAAACTAGCCTCGGGGGGGACGCCGAGGAAGGCCCCTCCGATGCTTAAGTCAGTATATTAGAGAGAGAAAGCTGTGCAAGAGTTTAGTTGCTTGAGGCTTTATTGTCTTACCAAGAATTGACCAAATTGTTGGCTTTTATACCTTGGCTAATGAAGGAGGCGGATTGGGCCCGGAAGTCAGTTGGGCTGGGCCAAGCTGATTGGGCCGTTGACTGACCTTGACATGGCTTTGAGGATGTTGATTTTTGACTTTAGCACATTTGGAGAGTTGAACCTTAACCTTGGGCTTTTAATTGGATCATTCAGTGACCAGGCCCAATTGGACTAAATTGGACCCAAACAACTTGCCCCCCAGACCCGATTTGGAAGGATGACGGGTCGGGTTTGATTTAATCAGAAAAGGAGGGAAGTGAATGATTTGTTAATCCAAAAATGTGAATTTAAACCGTAATTAACCCATGATTAATGAGATAACAACAGTTAATGTGGATAATTGCGGAAGTTGGACGGGTAGTGGGCGATTTAACTGCAAGGTCGTGTGTTTAACGGTTACTTAGTGGGGTGCTTGAGAGAAATTGAAACGCAGACTCCTTGAATTCCCATTTCTGGAGATATAAATAGAGGCGCGTCTTCTCTCCCCACTCATTCATCAACACAAACCCAGAATTCTCAAGAACGCTCAAGAGCCCGCATCAAAACTTCGCAAATTCCCCGAGCATTAAGCTTAGAAGCTGAGACTTGTCACTACCAATTCGTAAATCGGCGACTTTTGCTTCAGATCAAGGTAAATTCCTTTGATTTTATTTCATTTTTCTTCGACTTTGCACTCTTTCCCCTTTTTCGACTTTTTCCTTCGAAATTCGTCAATGGTGAGGGGAGTTAGAGGTGGAGCCCGTGCTCCAAGAAGAGCAAGGCTAATCCCCGATCCCAGGGACAGGATTGGGACCTGGAATGGACGAAGGACAGAGTCTGACCCTGCTGAAGGGGTTAGGGCGACTCCCATTTCTTCGGCTCCTCCTCAGAGGGCTGAGGGGGTGAGCGCTTCAGGACGGGATGATGAAGTTCCCGCTGTCCTTTGGGATATCCTCCCAGGGTTTTCAGAGTGGGAGGATGCCGAAGTAGCTTCGGCCATGATAAAGAACCGCCCCTACTCATGGTGGGTGGAGAATGCTGATCAGTACCGGTTTGCCGAGCAAATTGAGTTGCACTACGGCATTTTTGAAGCTGATGGATATTGGTGCCGAATGCCCTCAGCATCCGATAGAATCCATCGTCCACCCCCGGGGTATGTGGGGGTGTACACGAGACAACTCCAGTACGGGCTGAGGTTCCCTTTGGACGTATTCGTCCGAGACTTGCTGATCCATTACAACATTTCCCTGTGCCAGCTGACCCCCACCAGCATCCGAAGGGTAATGACGTACTTATGGGTCTGCAAATTCTTCAGGTACGTGCCGAACCTGCATTGCTTCAAAAGGCTCCATCGGCTAGTGCCAAACATTCAAAGTGGGCACGGATGCCATGGCTCTGGGTGGTATCGGATTGAGTCTCGGCCCCCGTTCCTAACCATGTGGCCGAACGACTCTTCAGACAAGGACTGGAGAGGTCAATGGATTTGGGTTAGGGCACCCACGGAGCCGAGCCACCCTTACGTTTTCAGCGCTCCCCGGTATCTTGCCGAGCCGGATCCTGATATGGGAAGTTTAGGTCCTCCCGAAGATAGCGGGCCAGACCCGAACCTTAATCAGCAGAACATCTTCGGCAAGCTGCCGAACCGGGGAGGCAGCGGCCGAATGCAGCATATCCCGGAGACTTGGCTCCCCGATACGCACTATGTTTTCCAAGAGAATATGCTGGCAGCTGTCGGCCTCAGCCGAAAGTTTAGGGATGGTAATCTTCTTCGGCTGGGGCCGAGGCCTTTTAATTATCTCTTTTCTTCTTTCATTTTGCTTTCTTGTGATGTGCCGAACTAACTGAATTGACTTCTCCCCTTTTCTTTTTCAGAACGGGACGAGACCAACGTCGGCATTGATTACGCTCGCCTTGGCGTCAACCGAGAACGAGTCGTAACTGATCGGGCTCCCCCTATCACTGAACCAAGGCGCCGAGAGGTTCACCTAGACTCTTCCCACTTCCAAATTGAGGCTGTTGCTCTGTATCAGAGGCAGAAGCCTTGGTGGAAGAAGAGAGATCCCTTGTTTCAGCTGCTGGAAGAAGAAGCTGAAGCTGCCCGTACAGCCGAAGAGGTTGCACGGGTTATTGAAGCTTGTGAAGGTGGAGAAGGGTCCTCCAGAGTTGCTGAAGAAGCTGCGGCTAGGGCAGCTGAAGAAGACGAGGCTTTGCTGAAGACCTCGGTGAGCCTTTAGACTTAACTTTGTCTTTCTTCTTTTTTTTTTTTTTTTTTTTTTACATTCTTCCCCCTGCCTGCCCTTTACAGTCTGAAGAGAGCAGCAGACACAGGGAAGGGAAAGCCCCTGTTCGTCCCGAAGACCAAGTACAAGAAGAGTCTTCAGACTCGGGTATGGACGAGCAGCCGCTTCAGAAGAGGCGCCGAAGAATGGCCATCATCGGCCCGCATGACTTTCAGCGGAGGCCGATGACCATCGGCGTTGAAATAAGGGAACCCGAGGAAGGCAATGGATCGCCGAGGGTTCCCCGGCCACCGCCTCAATCACCCCCAAGGGCCTCTCCGCCACCCCCCGAGATGGAGGTGGATCAGAGAACTCCCAAACCTAAGGGAGAGGTTCTGGAAGAAGCTCGAGAGAGTGCCGCCGAGGACAAGGATGGAGACGCCGTGATGCCCAGTGCTGAGGGTTTCACGGCGGACATTGCCAGAGAGGTTGGGGCCTTCGTCCTCACACCTGAAGAAGAAGAGGTCACAATAATTGACTCTTCTGAGAAGGAGGAGGACGTTGAGCCACCCAAAGCTAAAGAGGCTCCATCGTCATCCTTCCCTTCCTTCCAGACGCTGCAGTCTGGAGAAATGGGTTTCTCGGCCCCCCGAATTCCAGTCCCAGACCACATCTGGGACCTCATATGGGGTCAGAACCGAGAAGGTGCTGCAGCCTACTTCGGCGATTTTGCTGGCCTGTCCGAAGTAGATAGGGCAAGGATTTGGTCGCTGAAGGCCACTGCTGGGATGGGCGAATCCAGCAGATCAGTTCCTGACCCTGCCAGGTCCAACCAACTGCTGATGATGCAGGTAATTCTCCTTGCCTTGATTTCTTTCTGAACTCAACCTTTCAGCTATTATTTTTTACTTTTTTAACTTGTGCCCCTGTTTTCAGTTCGTGCACAATCAGACTCTCACTGTAGAGCTGATAGATTCCCTACAAGATAGGGTGGACGCTGCCGAGCACGATCAAAGGGTAGCCGAGGAAGAGCTAAAGCTTGCTAAGCTGAAGCAGGCAGCAGCTGAAGAGAAGCAGCAGAAGGCTGAGGAGTACGAGAAAAAGGCTGCTGAAGCCCTCCAGACCTTCTGCGACGCTATGGAGAAGGAAGTTTTTCCCCCACTGATGGAAGGGGAAAAATTCCTCCAAGAGCACCTGGGGGTGGACATCTCCAAGTTCAAGGCTGCTATCGAGAGCCGAATCCAAGGAGCTGCTGCACAGGCTGAAGTGCAGCATCAGCTAGAATCTCTTGAAGCCAGCAGAATGGCTGCTGAAGAGATGCTCCAAGCTAGGGATGTCCAACTCTCAAGGGCTGCTGCTGCTGCTGAAGCTCAAAGAGCTAAGCTACAAGAGGCTGAGGATCAGCTCACTGCCAAGAAGGAAGAAATGGTCCAAGTTCAGGCCGAGGCTTCCCAGGTTCAGCAAGAGTTTACCGAGCTGAAAGGCTCCTCCTCCAAGCTCGTCGATGAGCTGAAGAGATCCGAGGAAGACTTGGAGGAGACGAAGAAGAAGTTGGCCGATGCTGAGGCTCTACTCAAAGTCCGTATCTATACCCAAGAAGAGTATGAAATGGGTTTTAGAAACGGGTTCAGAGTGTGCCGAAGGGTCTGCCTTCATGCTGAGCCGAAGCTGGACTGGTCCAAATGTGCTGAATGGGTCCAAGATCCCGAAGACCCTCACATGAAGTATGCCACTCCAATCGAAGCTGAAATCCTTAAGGCTGAGGAAGCCGAGGAAGAAGCTGAGAGGATGGAGTTGGAGGCTGAGCAGAGGGAAAGGGAGGCTCGGCAAAGTGCAAAGCCTGCTTCTTCTGCTGCTGGAGCTGAGACCACCATTGGGCCCAATGAAGCTGATCAGTCTGATCCTCAGGCTGAAGCATAGGAACTCGGGCAGTCGTCTTCAGAATCTTGCGGTTCATCATGCGCTCAACTTTAGACTTGCCGCTTTCTGAATTTTTGCCTTTTGTTTTTTTTTTGCTTCAGCTTGCCTTATCGTACAACAGCTTATTATATTTTTATTTTGCCTGTACGTATTTCGGCAGCTGTTACTTTCCGCTTGTGGGCGGCTGCCGACTATTTTTGTAATTCAACATTTTTATTTCAAAGAAGTTCACTTTCTCAGCTTTCTTGTGTATTTTTTTTTCTTCGCTTTACCAGTCTTCGCACTTTACTGCTTTCTTTGAATGATCTTTCAAATATTTGCTAAGTGCAGAACTTCGGCTAGCGAGAATCATTTCTGCTGAGACTTCTTTTTGCCGTTTGTACTCGGATGTTTTCAACTTGTGAAAAAACTGACATAAGTATCAAACTTCGGCTGAGCTGAAGGGTATTAGATCAGTTGTGCCATTTCTCTATTTCCCTCTGCCCCCCAGAAATCTGA